ACAATACAGTCATTTTAACTGGTTTTGGGCAAAATAGGTATATACTAAGTTTCAGTCTTTCTAGTGTTAAGAAAGAAGCACATGGGAGAAAGATCGAGTCGAAAAAGAAAAGAAAAAAAAACCGACGACAAGGTTAGATTGACAAATGGCCCGTTTACTCCGTGACCGAGTCTCTCTCTCTCTCTTTCATCGCGTAATTTCTCTAGCGTGGCCGGTGCACGTGAGTACCGGTGCACGCATTGCGTGGATGCAGTTTCACTGGTCTCGCCATATCTCAGCCAGTGAAACGCATGCACGGAGAAAACGGTGCGAGGCAAAAACGAGCCTTCGGGTTCTCGGAGACTTCGACGTGCACCTTACAGGGGGGAAGGCAAAAAACTGAGAGTAGACACCGCTTCGGAAAACCGTAAACCGCGATATTTAACTCCCTGCCCGTTAGCAATTTCTACGAGCGTAATCGATACGGTAATCGTTTCCGGGGCTTCGAAAAACTGCTCGATCGACGCGATAAGTATAGGTAATTCTAATAAAGACGTACTAGACACATATTAACCCTTAACAACCATAATACTTTTTTACAAATAAGTATACCATTGGGTCACAATTTTCAAATAGAAAGCGTAGCAAAATGTGTTAATCTAATTCTACGATTAACGCTCCATTGACATCGTATTCTCAGCTGGTGCAATGTACAAAATAATACTTTGAGCAGGATTGAAGTATTTGATTTCATGTCAGATTATTCAAATAATAGGTTTCACTTGAGACGAATCACATCGAAAATATGAAATATGTATTTCGTCAGCTACATATCAAGTATTCGAACATTGGAAGCTTGAGAACCGTGCGACCGAGAAGGAAGAAAATAGGAAAAGAGCCCCGAGGAATTGTAGATTCGCGGGTAACAGCGTAGAGCGCACGCCTCTTACCGATATTATCTCTGTATTATGCGCCACTCTTAACTCCATTACCGTCGATCTAGCGTTCATTATAACACGAAACTAAATCTCTCTCCCCTGTACCCTGGCGCTCGATCATTATCCAGCCGCGCCGTGACAGAAACGCGAACACAATCCCCGGCATTCTATATGCAAAACCGTGCGAAAATCGTGGAAAAAGGCCGTGGAAACTGAACCGAATCCGGCGACCACTTTTACCTACCATTTTTTGCACGCGAAATTCGAAATACATATACGTGTACTTTCTAATTCGTTCCACACATCCAGGGAATTCCATCCGAGAAAACGTAAGACTAGGCTAATTGAAACGCATTCCGACGCGATATTTGGTAATAATTAAGACATTCCAGGGGCATCACATAAATCCCCGTCCCTAGTGTGAAATCATTTTAAGGCAATTCAATCGTATTAGCTTGGCGCATATGAAACGTCGTTTTGTTTTGTAAAGTCAGACGTTTTCCGTTAAAACTCTACTATTTTTCCCCTGATTATCTGCTTAAGGATGTATTGGCTATACAGTCAATCCCAAAAGTTTATGCACTTTAGAAACGCATTTTTTAAAAAGAAATCAGACGTCGGAAGAACATTGCTAATAATAAACAACAAAAAAAATTTTTCGATTTTTCCGAGATTTTTCCAAGGGGTACCCCTTCAGATTTCGCGAAATTTTCGTTTTTTGCCAATAACTCCCAAACCGTTGGTTCTACGGGAAAATTGCATAGGACCTTTCTTGTAGAGGACGACGAGATCTACAATTTCTATATAAAAGTTTTGCGCTTGCGTCAATAGTTTACGAGTAATTTGCGAGAAACTGTTTTTTGGTTTTTCGTCAATAAATCGTAAACTATTAACGCTAGCGAAAAACTTTTACACAGAAATTGTAGATCTCATCGTCCTCTACAAGAAAGGTCCTATGCAATTTTCCCGTAGAACCAACGGTTTAGGAGTAATTAAGGAAAAATGAAATTTTTTTCCAAAAGTTCGCCGTTTCGACGCTGGGATGGTCGGATTTTGTCAACATCAATAAAATGCCAAATAATCATACGTAACTCGTTAAATATCGTAGTTAGAAGGAAAACAACTTTTATTTGAAGCATTTTTCGCAATTTTGAAAAAAATAATTTTCGTCAGCGTCAATACTTAATTGGATATTTCCTTCTATATTTTTTAGCACGTAGCTATTTATTATTAGCATTATTCTTCCGACGTCTGATTTCTTTTTAATTATACGAAATGCGTTTTTCTAAGGTACATAAACTTTAGGGATTGACTGTATACAAGCATCAAATACATCCTTAAATGATGTTCCACAAGAATTCTATCTACTGCGTTCGAAAAAAACGACGAACCACTTGTTCGCGTTTCAACGAGACGTAAATTGATTCGCGGCCATGAAAACATAAAGAGACAGGTCTTCGATCTTAATTCGAGGCTCGATTTTCGCATTATCTTTGGCGCGGCCTCGATCCGTGCGATCAGTGAAAGCATCGAGGATAAACTCCGATCGAAAGCGGATACCAACACGGGTGCCACGCGGTGATTCGCCAAGGTGACTGCGAATCGGTGTTTGTCAATGGAGTACCCGTTCGAATAAAAAGAGAAATCGTACTGATAACGATCTCTATTAATTATATCTTATTGCGTTTCTAATCCGGATTTCATAAACATGAAGGAAATTAAAATATTTTTAGGATTGGGCGATGTCGAGCGAAAGATCGTGTGCTACTACACGAATTGGTCGATCTACCGACCAGGAACGGCTAAATTTTCGCCGCAGAACATCAATCCGTATCTATGCACCCACTTGATCTACGCGTTCGGTGGGTTCACCAAGGACAACGCTTTGAAACCGTTCGACAAGTATTTTGATATTGAGAAAGGTAGGAAAACGAAAGAAAAACGTCGGTAGACCGCCGATAGAAAATATGTATATGTGTGCTCGATCCTTTTATAAATACACGAAACGGTTTCAACGAGCGACTTTCAAAGGTGGATACGCCAAGTTCACGGGACTAAAGACGTACAACAAGAACTTGAAAACGTTGCTGGCGATCGGTGGGTGGAACGAGGGTTCTAGCAGGTTCTCACCGATGGTCGCCGACGCCGCGAGAAGACGAGAATTCGTCAAGAACTCGATCAAGTTTCTTCGAAAGAATCATTTCGATGGCCTCGACCTCGACTGGGAGTATCCCGCCTTCCGGGACGGAGGAAAACCGCGCGACAAGGACAACTACGCTAGCTTAGTGCAGGTACGGCACCACGTCCTCGACGAACTCTGACTCGTTTAATTTCACGATTAGACGAGACTTTCAAGGGCTAGAGAACCTGCTGATATTGATCAGTAAACTGCGATATTAAACTGCAATATTCGCAATCTACTAAACAGGTCAAATGGACCCGAAGTCCTCAAACAAATTGTTTTAATTTCTATTTTTGGTAATTACGAAGGAACTGCGAGAGGAGTTCGAGAGAGAAGCCTCGAAAACAGGAAGACCGAGGCTCCTGCTGACGTTGGCGATGCCAGCAGGTATCGAGTACATCGACAAAGGCTACGACGTTCCCAGGTTGAACGAGTATCTCGATTTTATTAATCTCCTCTCGTACGACTATCACTCGTCTTACGAGCCAGCCGTAAATCACCACTCGCCCCTCTATCCGTTGGAGGAGGACAACGAATACAACTACGACTCCGAATTAACGATCGTAAGATACAATACAGAAAACGAATTTCAAGTTGTTGTACTTGCTAATCTGAGACTGCATTATTCATTTCAGGATTACACTATCAATTATCTGTTGAAGAAGGGTGCTTCTCCAGAGAAGATCGTGTTAGGCATACCGACTTACGGACGATCTTACACGCTCTTTAATCCGGACGCTACCGATTTAGGATCGCCAGCTGATGGTCCAGGAGTCGAGGGTGATGCCACACGCGAGAAAGGATATCTCGCCTATTACGAGGTTTCCATTTGTTACTATCTAACTTTATCATCTATTATTACGATCTATTAATAATATTAAATGATATTTGGCTAGATCTGCGAGAGTTTGACGCAGTCGAATGATTGGGAAGTAGTGCAGCCGAACTCGAAAGCGATGGGCCCCTACGCGTTCAAGGGAGACCAGTGGGTGGGCTACGACGACGAGGATATCGTTAAGTTGAAAGCAAAATACGCGAATGAGAAGAATCTTGGAGGGATTATGTTCTGGACGATTGACAACGACGATTTCCGAGGCAAATGCCACGATCGTCCGTACCCCCTGATCGAAGCTGCCAAGGAAGCTCTACTAGCGGACAGCGCGTAAGATCATCTAATAAAATTCTATTTTCTACTGAAAATCATTTGATCTCGGTTTTATACCTTCGTATAAAATATGAAAACTACATTACTTCAACTTTTTCTTAACATTACTTAAACTAGGAATGCGAAAACGAGCTCTGAGGAGTCTCGCAAGAAACCGCGAATTAAGAGCAACGCGATAGGAAGGAAGGTGATCGGCGGCCGTTCCACGACGGTGGCACCAGCTCCTAAACGAATTACTACTGCGAAACCAAAGTTTCGAAATTCGTTTTCGAGGCCGAGATCGAGCGTCGAGGACGAGGAGGAGGAGGAACAGAGAGTCGACAGACGATCGTACGATCAGGAGGAGGCTGATACCCAAGGTGGGAACGCAGTTCGAGTCACCGATAAGAGCGAAAGATCAGGTACCAAACCGAAAACCCGGATCGGTTCTAATCGGAATCGGAGGAAACAAATTCGCCGAAAGGAAGAGGATAAAAATGAATCCAATGAAGAATCGTTGAGCAATAAATTGACTACTCCGGAACCTCCCACGACACCTGATCCTGGGACAGGTGAGTTAATCTCGAGGAAAATTCTTTATCTCTGCCTTGTTCTGAACTATTTCATCGATTGCGATTCACACTCTGACACAGATTTCAAGTGCGAGGATGAAGGATTCTTTCCCCACCCACGGGACTGCAAGAAGTATTTCTGGTGTTTGGACAGCGGTCCCGGAGGTCTAGGCGTGGTGGCACATCAATTCACGTGCCCTTCCGGTAAATCGACATTAGAATTAGATTAGAAACCTCTTTCCTATTTGTATCTCTAAACGTATTCTCGTTACCCTTTACAGGCTTGGTGTTCAACAAGGGCGCAGATTCGTGCGATTACCCACGCAACGTGATCTGTCCTAAATCTAAACCATCATCGTCAAGCTCGACGACCAGAGCTCCTATAACAGCCGCCACGAGTCGTACAACGTTCCTCTACAGTACCACTCGTCAACCGACCACCGAGAAGCCGGAAGAGGAAGAGGAGTACGAGTACGAGGACGATGACGAAGAGCTCGAGGAAGAGGAGAAGGAAGAACCAAAGCCAACCACCACTCCGAAACCGCTCCTCTATAAAACTATCACAAGGAACAAACCTACGACTACGACGACCACCACCACGACCACGGAGGTACCTTCGACGTCTCGAAGAAGCGATCCGGAAAGGGTGGTTCACATCGAGGACGAGGAGGACCCCGAAGTGATCAAGGAATTGATTCAATTAATCAAGAAAGCGGGCGGTATCGAGCAATTAGAGAAACAGCTGCTGTTTCAAAGTAAAAGTTCGGTTGACGCGACGAATTCAAACAACGAGAACGCGACCCCGGCTACGATCAGTCGTACTCTTTATGAACGCGTTTTAAGTCGACAGGCTGGGAAGGTAACGGACAACAAGCAAGCGTCTACGAATAGGAATGGGCCTGGTGGTGCGCAATTCGAAGGCTTGGATGATGTTCCCGAAGTGAAGAGCCTTCGCCGCTCGCAGAAACCGCAATACGTTACCATAGAGAGGCCTAAGTACGATATTTCTTTCTGTAACTCCTGGCAAAATGTTTTTATAAATCTACAAAGTCCTTTAAAAGTAGAAATAGAATAATTTATTGTTACTCGATATTTAAATTTTGTATACTTGGATTATCTGTGAAACTGATTTTACTTTCACTTATTTTTGTTAAATTAGACCCTCCACGGAGGAACCGTCGATCAGAGATGAGGAAGAAGAGGAAGATGAGATCGAAGAAGATAACGCGGACGTTGCTTCTTCGGAAGAACGGACTGTCAGCAATCCTTTCTTAACTAGTTCGACGCAGAGGGCGACGCCTAATTATATTAACATCAGACGCGCACGTCCCACGACATCAAAGTAAGTAAAGGATTCCTACTTTCTTCGTTACAAAACATATGTATATAGCTATAACGATTTCTACAGAGATGATAACAACCTGGAGGAGAAGAATAAAAACGCGGAGGAGGAGACGGCTGTTCCACGTCGTGCACCTTTCAAGTAAGAGTATTTGTATTAATATTTGCATTGCCTCTTTATTTGCAAAATTATTCATTACAGGACAACCGAAACGAATTCGGAGGATACAAAGAATCAGGAATCTCGTCCACCGGCGAACGAAGATAATTCGCAAACGACTAAATCCAGGTTCACATTTTTACATAAATTACCTATTTTCGTTGTATCTTTGTTTGGAAATACTGATTTATCAATAACATTATCTAAATTTTCTAGATACGTTAACATTCAACGATTTAGGAGTACGACTCCACAGGCAGTAGACACGGTCTCAGAAACCTCATCTTCTGAACCGATCACGGAATCGACCAGCGAACCGCCTAAAGTCGATCAGACCACGAGTACCACCCAGTCCTCCGTTTCATCGTCTGTCTCGACGCCTAATGATATCCCCGTCGACTCGGAAACGGAAAGACCGGTCTCGAGCACCGTGAAACTCGTCGAGGACACGGCAACGGAGATCCTCTTAACGACGCTATCGACGCCTGGCACCGCGGCCGTCGCCCAACCGAGGCCTTTCAGTTTTAACAGAAGAAGGCCCACCCAGACCGAGACCACGACCGAGGCCTCGAGCAACGAGCAGACGAGGTCCAAGGTGAGTATATCGTCGCGAAACAACACGCGCTCGTCCTTCTCGGGGGGACGAGGTCGGTTAAGGCCAAGGCAGGGGAACGAGAACGAGAACGAGAACGAGCGAACCACGACGAGTTCTTCTCGAGCCGAGGAAACGCCTCGTGGTCGTGGGAGGTCGAGGAGCAGAGGAGTCAGCAGGTACACGCCTAGTGGCAGAGTCGAAAGCGAGGACACCTTCGAAACCTCTGTTAGAACTCGAGCCACCACCGAAGTGAGCACGGAAACTCCCAGGAGAAGGTATCGACGACCGAGCTCCAAAGCCGAGTCCACCACAGCGAGCGAACTTCGGGACAGTCCCATCGTCAGGATCGCTCCGAGTTCGAGGCGATCGTCCTCGAGAAGTTCGATCAAGAACGAGGAACTAGAGCCTGAGAAGATCACGAAGATAAAGGTGTTCGATAAGCCGGCGAACAGGGATGCGTACTCGAGGTACAGGTATACGAGAAAGAAGAATAACTTGGAGGGCGACGATCTTCGTAAAGAAACTGGATCGCCCGATAAGGAAGCAGTGATCCAAGTTACGCCCAGTTACTCTTCCGTGAGCGTCTCAACTACTTTGGACAGAGCCGCGAGCGTAGGACCGATCACGGATTCTGTGGACGAGGTCGACACAGGTTTGACTACAGAGGCGGAATATGCTACGACTGATTTGAATGTTGAGACAAACACCGTTGACTCCTTCGTACGCGCTACCAACTCGGTCAACGAAGAACCCGTGACGACAAGGTTCAGTGAGAATCAAGTGCAAGAGATCGAACAGATGACGACGACCGTCAGCGACATTGATCCGAATATAATTAAAATAGTATTCCCTACAAACGGTACCGCGAACGTAAACGTTTTTCCAAAGAGAAGGAAAGTTCTTCTAAGAAGAAGGCCCGTTACACCGAGCACGAGTGCGACGCAAGAAAATGAGAACGCGAACAGGCTCGTTTCTCGCAGGAGGAAAGTGATCAAACGCCTCCGTCCCGTGCAAAAAGCAGAAGAGGAGGAAGCTCTGATGAATCCGACGACCGGTGCGACTAGTGCATCGTCCGAGGAAACTCTTGACTCTACTGTGGGAACGACAGAAACGATGGAGAGTTCAACCATCGTGAACGAAGAGGAGGATATCGTCACTGTGGCATCGACTATGATCGACCACGTGACGGCTGGGACCGACGAATCCTCCACGAGAATAAAGGATTCGGAACTGGATAGCGTCACGGAGTCGACGATACCGTATACAAGCGAAATATTGCCAACTATCGTTTCGCAGAACGAGAACGATCAATTGGAAGTTTCACCGACTATTATTTCAGAGGCGAACAATCGGCTAGATTCGAGTACCGTTTTACAATTGACTACACCTTTGATTCCGTCGAACTTCCGAAGATTGGAAACCAACAATCGGTCGTATTATCTAGACACGAGATACGTGAGAAAAAAATTTGTTCGCAGGCGTCCGGTCGCTTCGTTGGAAAACATAAGTGCATCGATAAGTGTCATCACGACACAAGGTCCGAGCGTAGCTCCAACGAATGGGAGATCTAACTTGGAAGCCGCGTCGAAACGCAGGAAGAGTTTATTCATTCGCCGGAGGCCGGTTTCGACGACCGCGAGCACGACGCGTTTGATCGAGGAGGAGCCGATCGAGAACAGATTCGAAAACGCGAGGGAATTTGGCTCAGAGGAGGAAACAGATTCCGAGGATCGATCTCTCAATCCAAGCGGAAGCGAATCGGAGGAATTTTGGAATCGATACACGACAATGCCTAACGAGAGGAGCTCACTGGACGACGAGATTCAAGTTTCTGCGAGGGAGGAAGTTCGCCGATCGACGGCTTCGTACGACGAGTCGCCGGAATTCAATGCTCGTTACGGATTTTCAACATATCCTCTGGACTCGTCACCGGAAGAGTCCGAGGGGACGACCGTCGACTCGTACCAGAATTTCCGTCGACCGAAAACCCGTTACAATTATCCAAAATACCAAGAGCTAACGAGAAACGCTGGAGAGGACGAATTGTTGTTCGATGCCGCACAGTCGCCGACTTCTGATTCCTCGAAACGTTCGAGATCGCGACTGTACGCGAGCTTGAACAGACGACCCGTTTCCAGCACGGAATCGGTCACGGAGACTCTGATCCCTGCGAGAAAGTTCGACTACGTAGCCGACGCACACAGAAGACAGCAAACTTTAAGGACGACGCATAGGAATCGAAACGAGGACTCGACGAACCCGGTAGATGTTAGGAACTTGGTCGACGCGGACTTGGCGACGACTCCGCGACCATCTGTAACGAGGCTCGTCACGTCGGTCGAGGAATCGGCTACCACGGAGCGGCAGAAGATTCTGATCAAGACGAAATATTCCTCGTTAACGTCGACCACGAAAATAATTCCTGTGCTGCGAGCAGGAATTACCACGGAATCGATGGTAATCGGTACACCGAAGAGGTCCGCGGATCCTAGCTTGGACGATTCGGTGAACGAGATCGGTTCACCTGGCCAAGTGGTCGAGAGGTCCACCCTGCCGATCGAAAGTGAATTCCTTCATCAATCATCACGGTTCACCACGGAATCTCACGAGTCGTCCACGATCGAGATCGAGTCTGTGTTCAGCAACTTGATCGGCAACAGAGATTCTACTAAATAAGCGAAGCGATTCGCACAATCGACAATGTACATAGATTTATTCATCGCATCCCCCAATCAAGAACGAAGCAATTTCGCAAACATACCAGTCGCGTTACATACTTAACGCGTTATTAAAATTGTCTAATCGAATCTTGGACCAACCAACTCTTTGGACGAGATCGGGTATCGAAAAGAAAAGGACATCGAAATACATAATAGAATCGGAAGATCAGTACCGGAGGATCGTCCGCTTTCTTTACCTTCTCTCTCCCTCTCTTCTCCTTCGAGACGGAAAAAGAGGAAACAAGACAAGAGTGAGAGAGAACGAAGAGAAAGGTTTTCATAGGATCGTCATTAAGCACGCAACCCTCTTCTGATTTTCAGGTCGCCAGCTTGCCCGAAGTTAATAAACTACCGACCCTCAAGGATCTGATTGGTTATCGAAACCATGATTACGATGAAAATCAAACGCCCGTGTTCTTCAATTTGCTTCCTCTTCAGGATGAGAACCACCACGATGGGGAACGTTCCTCGCGTGAAAAAGTCGCGAACGCCTACGAGGACGCGAGCGAAAAAAATAAACGTTTGGATTTATCTGTAGACGATATAAATAGTTATTACGTCGAGGACAACGTCGCCGACGACGAAGAATCGATTAATAAAAAGAGGATCGATCGGGAAGATCCATTAACGACTACATTAATAATAAAACCGACTACCATGCGTGGTATTCCTTTGGCCGATCTGTTGCATAGCACCGCAAAAGTTCCTCGTGGTTTTTACGTCACGCGAGACGAGAACGAAACGTTCGAAGCCAGGATAACAGACACCACGCCGATGGTAACCGATGAACCAACTACAGAGATTGAACTAAAGTTTAACACCAAGCCCTCAGACTCCACTGTTCCCACGACCGAATTCACGACTAAAGAAATCCTAACTGACGACGATACTACTCTCTCTATTGCACGTACTGATTCCATCGCGAGTTCTACGGCCGAACAATCGTTGCTCGTAAATCCAAAACCCGAGAATGTGACGGAAAATGCAACGAGTTCGGAAACTGTACCAAATGCAGTTAATTCTACGAAAAATACAGAGTTAAAAACAATCGCGACGATCGTTCCTTCCGACGATAGAATTACGGAAAGAACGGTGAATAAGTATAATAATCGTCGTGGACAAAATATAGGATTCGGCTATGAGTTCGGTCGCAAATCTCAAGGGCGTCAATATACGCGACCGGTCAGCGAAGAGAGTTACATAAGAACAACTGAAAAAACACAATACGCTCGGCGTCGCTTCTCTACTCGCAGAGGGCAACAAAGGAGAAGACCACCCGTTACCACTACGCTTGTTTATGAAACGACTGTCGGCTCGTTTTACCACGACGGAGATAACGAAACCGAAGTAACGGGAAAGGTGGACCAGGACTTGGAGCAAACCACTGTCCTCGCGAACGAAACGAATAATTTTATTGGCACTACGGATGATCGAGAAAGCTCGAATGATGAGGGAAGAGGGAGAGAGATCAAATTCACGGATCATAACGAAACGAAAAATTCTGTTGGGCGTTCGCCTGATCGAGAAAACTTAAACGGAAATGAGAAGGACTTTGTGCCAAAGGCAAATCGGACGGAAAACATAGCTGGTTCTGAAGAACATCTTCAGACTGAGGAGAATGTAAGACCCGAGGTCAGTTTAAACTTTAAAAGAAGCATGAACAATCTTCTCGCAACGCGTAACGCTAACTAAAAGACTGCTACTCTTCTTGTAATATATCTGATTAAACAAAAGTGAGATGTGCACACAACGAGAATGGGACGATCTGTTAATTTACTGTTCGAACGCGAAAAAAGACGAAGCTGTTCTCTCTAACAAAAAATACCAAAGACATCGAAATAGGCTCCCTTCCATTCATGCTTAACACAAGAGCCTTCTACGACGACAATAATTAATATGAAACAAAACGAAGAATAATGTCTCGAAAAGGATCATTCATGTACGGAAGGAAACTCATCGATAATCTTTTCTGGCATCGTGCGTTCTTATCCTTATCTACGGCTGGCTCATCTATTCTTAAATCGATTAACACTATTTTTCCTTCTACGTGTGAGGCGCGTGTCGCACGTTTTTTAAAGAGCCTACGCTACGCTTATACTATTCCATCTTACAATACATTTTAACCCTTTGTGCTCTACACACTTCTACAGATACACTGGGTCTCACAACTTTAAACGATTCATACCTGTCCAATAAAACGTAGAACAGTCCAAAGGGTTAATGCTTAGTTGCGTTTAACAAGAGAATGAAGTTCAACTGTTATGTCGCCCTTATAACCCACCCAATTATTCTTGTCTTTCTTTTTCTTCGTATCGTCTCAGTGCTTACGAGCTCGAACAATTATTTGAAACAAAGTAACGGACGCGTGTCGATCGACATAAGTTTCAGATTCAAATAACACGGGATAAATTAATTTTTCGATATACAGATTGTAGGAATATAAGGCGACACCTGTGGAAGTGTATGTTCCTATTTTAAAAGGAATTCGCGGTAGAAATTCGACGCCATTTTTTCAATTCAAACAAAAAATCTCCGTTTTAATAAATATGCTCGATCGATGCGATAATGCGATACTTTGACTCAATCATACATATATTAGAAGATATAGATCGATATAGAACATGAAAATACTATTTAGTAGTGTTACGAATATCAATCTTGATCTCTAACGTCCGCTTGTACAAATTGGCCGTTGTCGAACCGGCAATCATAGTCTTTAATCGGAGAATTGTACTCACCGTTTCGGTGACCCGACTGGAAAATACAATTTGCGTGTGCTCCATGAACAGGTGAATTCCTCGAAGAATACAGTAACGTCTCGTACACCAGGAAGTTCGCCGACGACCAGATTGAGGAAACCCACGATTGTCGGCGGCTTGACGCCATACAGCAAACGTTCGAATACACTCGCGAATCAACGAAAAATTCGTCCGACCGACGGAAACTTGACTCTCGTTAACAAGACACTCGGTAAGTGACACGACACGATACGTAAAACCTGTATAAGATTTAGAAAAGAACTTACGTCGCACCGCACGCATACGCATGCGACGAAACACCAGACGCAATTGCCGGTACTCCTTTCGCCGTCTTGACTTCCAACATGGCGGCTGCGCGAACCAGTTGCGCATGAGAGACGCGGGAGACGCTTCGCGAACGAAACGAAGAATTTCGAACGATCGTCGAAGCGAACTATAGAAATATATTTTCATGCTGTTTTAGATGCCGCGGGTAATAAAACAGAGGCGCAGAAACCTGTGAAAGATATCGATCAAAGTAGCAGGGCGCAAGAGATCGCGGTGACTCTGGCAGATCCACCGTCTCTGCAATCGTCGGCCACCGGTACACTCAACTTGTTAAACGCTTCATCATCAAACTTCTTAATCTATCTAAACTAAAGATCAGTTCATAGATCAACTGGGATATAATTTCTCATCGCATCGCAATTCTCTACTTATATTCTCTCACACTTATTTCCGATGTATCGCCCGACGTGCGACCGAAAAAGTTTTAATCCGTCTACTTCTCGAATCGAAACTTTCGAGGAGTTCACCAAAGACTAATCACACGTCACCTCCCTCGAGGAGGTATCTCATTGTTGGGGATCTACTGGAAGCTAACTGTTCAGTAAACTTCATCATCGTTCACCCACTCTCTGTTCTGCTAATTCTTTTTTTTATCTCTACTATTCATGTAATTACAACCACGTTCTTCATCTGTCTCTACGAGAAACGATCTGTTCGTACTAATGCAATCATAACGCCTTACCTTTCTCGTCTGCATCTCTACGTCTGCAGACCCGTTTCCTCACGAGGTCAAAATCATGCCTTCTGGATGCATCTTTTATGTTCTACTGCTGGTGCTAATGGGATTCCTCTAGTCTCTTTCGCGAAAGGTCCAATTACTAATAGAGTTACACGATCAGGTCGACCGCCGTTTAGGAACGCCCTGAGACGCAAAATAAGCACTACGGTCGCACCTAGAGTGGCCGCGACGACGAACAGGAGTACCATCAGATTCACTCCGGCTTCCGGGGATCGTCATAAGCCAAAGACGAGGGACAGATCTATAGAAAACGCGACGACGAGACCTAGACGGCCACCGGTTCTCGATTACGATTATTACGAGGACGAGGAGGAGCCGGTCGTCGGGAAATCTACGTACAACGGGAAACTCTTCCTCACGAGTACAGGGACGATTAAGTGCCTCGATCAGGGCAACTTCCCGCATCCGTACTCGTGCAAAAAGTTTATCACTTGCGCCAGAATGGTGAACGGACTGGTGATCGGAGCCGAGTACACTTGTCCCGACACGTTGTCCTTCGATCCGGTCGGTGGTATTTGCAATTGGTCCGCTGGACTAGGTTGCAAGGAGTAAAAAACCTTCCCAGACAAAGCGAACGAATCGAATTTCGACCCGAACTCGAAACTACACGACCAATCTGAATTTTTCAAAACGCATGTAGCCATAATCAACGAAGCACGGTGATATTATCGTTAAACGTTCATACGTGTAAATATTTTAGTTACTGTATATAAATAGGCTTAGCTTTTACTTTATCGCGTAGCATACCGACGAAATAATTTAAGCGTTAGTAACGTGTTACGTCGAGAAGCGCACTTAATCGATCGCATATCACTTTCTAAGGTACGTCACTCTCTGAGGGGGTTGTTCAAACTCAAGAGATCGAAATAGTTTTACAGTTTTTATGTATAATACATTTTGTATTTGGAATAAAAGCATCAATTTTTAACCACACTGTTAGAAATTTTTATTTAAATATCCTTTGTTATATCGCCCACTTGATACGACGCATACTGGGATACGTTCGAAACAACAACCCAATCCTGTCGCTTCTTTTTCCTCTTCACTTTTGAATACAAAATCTGACCGGTCTTCACTTTATTTCGTCGAAGACCTTTCTTTTATTCATTTACCTCATAGTTTTTGATTTTACATAATTCGCTCACTGCTGACTAAGGGAGATGGAACTGATAAAACGAGTGTAATATGAAATACGAGAGACGATCGTCGGGCTGATGTTTAAATGTCGAATTAAAATTGTAAATGTTACTTTACATGATTCAAAATTATAAGAATGGTAATTATACAGTACATGTGATTATTAATGAGAATGTATAAGTGTATATAATATGATACGAAGGCCGAAAGGCTTTGCGAATTCGACGTTTGAACGAATCTCTTTCGACTGTACACGTATACTCGTTTAAATTGTTCAGAATTTCATTTTGATGTCCGCGAGTAATGCACATGTGTGTACCCGTATGTGTTCATGTGTGTGCGTTTGAGTATGTAGATTTTTTTTTGAAAAGCCCAACATGTTCTTCTTTTGATTTTCTTTAGCAAGAAATAAAGGTAGGAGGAATTAATTGAACTCGCAAGACGCGTTAAGATAGATACTGATGAAGCGCTAGGTTCCAAGCAGAATTAAGTTTCAGACATTGTTTTCTGCTCTGAAAAAAGTAATTGCATTTCACACACGAGCGTCTTCCATGTAACAATGATTCGATTAAATGATTTTTAGACAGCTGAGAGTGTAAATTCGTGATCACATGATACACATGACACAAAGAATAGCGATTGCTGTGTAGGTCTTATATTACAGTGACCGTTTCGTTTTTTCACTTCTCTCAAATATTTATAAAAATAAATACTTTGAAAAAGTAGGTTCGTTCACTACCATAGTTAATTATCTGAAGAATAATAAATAATCCTTTAATTCAAATAAATAAATAATTTGCTTTCTTTCGCATCGTTTCGCGTTTACCATTTAATTATACGATGATCTGCGAAGTATATAAAGGCGGCTGGTCGATTAAAAGTTCGTTTGCCGCTGATTATAAAAAAATATGAACGTTGCGTTCGATTTCGAGCGTTTACATTTTCTGGATCCTTAGCGAGAAAGTCGATTCGTACGTATGTAAGGACTCGCAAAAATTCGTGTCGTTAATAATAATTATCAATTTACACACGTTCGTTTTATGAATTTTCGCATATTCTACGAACATCGATTTGTGCCTTACGAATTTCAAAACAAAAGAGTAAACGACATAAAACCTACTGACCTGCAGGAACGTATTTAGGAACTGTGCGGCTTTTGTACCATGTTTTTCAAGCACAACCAACAAAATCGTCTCGTATAAATAAATCAAGATGTTACTCTTCCAAATGAAATGAAACTAACTCTTCTAAACGATACATTCAAATGTCTTGTTTAAAAATATACGTACGCGCTTTCAATGAACGTGATTCCTACCTTCAGCAATGTACGTATAAGGCTACAATATCGATGTACGCATTAAACTGCTCGAAGACGGTTTCCCTACGACTTTTATGTATAATATTCATATTTCCGGCACGGTTTCTTTCGATTGATCCTCTTCTGGGGAAGCTTGCGAAAAGGAAATGCTTATTATTTTCCCTATTATCGGTACTCGTGTGACTTCTCTCGGGGATGTTTATTTACAATTGAAACGTTAACTTACTAATTATAGGACTCATTGTAGATATAGGCAAGAAGCAAATGTTCTAGGAGAACTTGTGTTCAACTGTGGTATTCTTTTAACGTTAAGGTAAAGCTACAATGTGTATGTATATTTATTGTCACTATACAGACTTATTTAAGTACGGACCACCCTTTAACGAGCGTTACGCATCGACTTCTGCTGCGTCATCGAGGTAGTCGTTCTGGCAAAATACCGTTGTATCAAAGTTCATCGATATGGCTGACACCTTCCTTTACGTTAAAAAAATATCACGAATAAAAAATTACTAACACGCGTGCCACGTACAAACGCATTTAGAGCCCCTTCTTTTTTTTTGCCTGAAAATCATCCTGTATTTCTTGAGGCTAGAGATTGATTTTTTTTATCTCACAGAGATTCTTAATTTGTATAAACGTGCGTTAGAGTACCAAAACGTGCGACAAACGTTTCAGATATCATTTGACCTGCGTTTTGAAACGGAAATCGTCGAAAAGTTCTCTCGATTTTTGATATGTATGCTTACAAATCTGATTCACCATATAGAGCGGTGGAGAAAGAACGATAATCTAATGCCCCGGGCATCGCGTTCGGGCCTTTGTAAGGAGGCATTCGCTGGATACAATATTCGGCCTGATCAGGTGGCAGTTCTCTCCTCAATTCGTCCGACATGATGTACGGCTAAAAACGAAGCAAACAGAGACGATTAAAAATAGTTTCAGAACAGTATCTTGAAATCATTTAGCGAAAGCGTACAAACCTTGTCTCCAGCAAGTATACGGAAACTGTCTATAACTTGTTCAGCCGTGTCGGTATCCGTAGACTCGCGAGTCATGAAGTCCAGGAACGCGTCGAAGGACACGTAACCAGAATTATTTGGATCGACGATAGCCAGGATACGCTGGAAATCGATGTCGCCTTGCCTGTCTTTTCCAATAGAGTAACCGAGAGAAACGAGGCAAGATTTGAACTCGTCCGGAGCCAGTCTGCCAGTACGATTTTTGTCGAAGTGATTGAAACTACTACGGAATTCGTTAAGCTGTTCCTGCGTGATACCCTTGGAGTCTCGAGTGAGGATTTGATTCTCGACTTCGTTAATAGTGCGATTGATCGAAGTCAACAATTGTTCCCAACCAACTCGCAACGTTTCCATGGTGTATTGGGTATATCGGTTCTCGAAGATCATGCCTTCCTGAACAGCCTGGTGTATCTTCTCCAATTCTTCGAGATGAGCCTTGTACTGGTAAACCGCTTGTTCGTACTCTTTCAGACGATGCAGCTGATCTTCCAAGGTACCCTGAAGACCGAGACCGATCGCTGTGATCGCGTCCAATTGCCGTTCAATCCACGGCCCGACAGCGTTAGCTTTCTCGGCGAACTGTCTTCGAAGCAATTCGTTGTTCTGCTGTTTACGAAGTTCCGCTTGCAGCGTGCCATCGCGTTGTGGCACGAGTTGCCTGACATCGCTCCACTTCTTCGTAAGATCCAAAGCGGTCAAAGTAGTGTACGGGTTTTCGAGTCCTCCAGGGATTTGGAACTGTTTGACTATTGACTCGACCTCGCGCACCAGTCCCACAATGGCATTGTACTCCTTATCGGCTTCTCCCAGCGTGGCTTTGAACGCAGCGTGAGCGTCCATCAATCCTTGAATCTCCTCCATCGTGTGCACAATGAACATATCTACCAAATCCTCTCTGGTTCCATCCAACCAATTGTTGAACGGCTGAAAGTTTTTTTATCATGATAATTAAACTGGGAAAGAAGTAGAAATGGGACATGGGGTGAAATTGAACTTACAGCAGCTCGCTTAGCGAATTCCAAATGTAAGATGTCAATTTTTTCAAGAATACGCTCGGCCTCGTCTAGCGCTTGGCGTCGTCGTTGAGTAAGAGTACCCAAGCGATCCCACTGGTCACAGATTCGTTGACATCTGGCGTTAACGGATGCGCTATCATGATACTCCAAAGTACTGAAAAAACATTATCGATATTACTAGAACATCTATTTGTGGATATAATGTATCGCAAGTTTTGCGACATTACTTGAGCTCTTGAGCTATTGCAGCTATCTGTTCCACGCGATCTTGATGAGCCGCAAGATCGGATTCGAAGGCTTCGTGTTTCTTTTTCAAAGCCTTCAGTTCGTTAAGCTTGCACTGTCGGAAATGCTGTGACGTGAGCATCTCTTCTTTTCCCGCGGTCCATTCCTCGTGAGCGTCAGCTTTGTGCTTGAACTTCTGAGCCAAGTGCTCCAGACGCTCGAGACGCATCATTTCCGACAAAAGCCATTCTTCGAACGATTTTTCCGCCAGCTCCAAACCTGCCGATTCAAGCGTCCTTAAGTTATTAGGTCGAATAGAAAAGATACACTGGGGTTACCAATACGAGCATCATCAAGGTCCTTCACCTTTCCAAGCTTTATTAATATCGGAAACCATTTTTCCTTCCGTGGGCATGTACGCAGGTCGATTGCTCAGTCTTAGTTTCGTCTGTAAAGTATTGAAATTCGTCTCGAGTTTGGCTTTCTGCTCGACCCGCGGTGGCTTGTGTTTACGACGGTACGTTCTGTACTCTTCCAGCTTCTTCTGACACCCGGCAAGCGAATTGTCCGTCTGACGACTAGCCAGCCAGGGCATAGTTCGTCTTATCCATTCCAGCAAATCGGATGCCAGGCGTTCGTATTCCTCCATGAGCCTCTCATTTTCCTGGTTCACTTTCAAAACTTTGCAAATCCTGTTCGCGGCAGTCTCTGCCTACAATGAAAAGCAAATACATTTGTATTGTGAAACAAGAGCATGCACCCTCATATCGGTAACGAATTGTTATGCATCCGTTCGATCGTGCCTCGAATACAAGCATATTATCGACGATCGAAGGAAATATATGTATAAACATTTGTTGAGGAAAATTCAGACTCGGTTTAAACAGTGGTTAATGGTTAATTTCAAATGCAATCACACACCTTTTGTGCACCGCTAAAACAGTGGTAGTACGAAGAAACGTAGGTCATCACAGCCCTCTCATCAGGCTTTGGCGTATTTCGCATATCTAGAAAAACACATTCGAAACAACTCAAACCATGCAGTGTTAGAGTTAAGAAGAGTCCGCTGAAAAAATTTTGTCTATCAGGAATTAAGATCTCAAATCGATATTCACGAGTTGCCGATATTAAAAATACATGTATGTCTAATTAATATCACATAAACTAGTCATAGAAAGCTATATGTATAGGGGTAATAAAATACGTGTAGAGAACGAGGAAAGTATTTTCTATATACAGTGAATATCTCATCCGTGAGAATAAAACGATTAAATGCAGTTACGCAGTGAAACGAACAATGATCAAACGCTTGTTAAGTGTAAGCATGTACGATCGTACTTATTAGTAGGAGATAGCACAGGTCTTTTCGTAACCAAATTAAGGGAACAACACGCATTTCTTTACGCTGACCTGCTGAGCACCTTGGAACGCGTGGTAGTAGCAGGACACATACGTCATGATCGCACGCTCATCTGGCTTGGGTGTGTTGATCAAATCTATATGATATTAAGGGAACATAACGTTAAGAATTTTTACGCTTAAACAGCACGAGAAAAACTCATTTGATCGATATTCCATCCTGAATCCCCCGAAAATACCTAAAACCGGATGTTAAAAAAAGAGAGAAAGAAAATAGGAGACTTGCTTCGCGTTAATCGGCAGTGCAGAGAACGTAATGTTTAATGTATTTCCCTTGAAGAACGCGACGCGTTTCGAACGATCGGCTGATTCGATGATTCAGTCCACGATACTCACCATCAGGATCTAACATACGAGGAATGTCGAGATACTTCTCAGCAACGTCGAAGGCAGTGTTCAAATTCTCTAGTGGATTATCCTTGCTAAGTTTATTGTAATCGATAAGATCGGGACGATGACGATGAATGAGAGCGCAAAACGCCAAGCCGTCCTTAAAGGAAAGATGGAAGTTCTGAACGTTAACGTTCTTGTACGGTGCAGTTTTTCGTTGACACCACAGCAGGAGACCCTCTTTAGCGGTCATTTCCTCCACAGAAATATCTTGGATAGCGAATCGCAGAATTATGGTCCAAATCATACCCAGCGTCATCTTCAGATTTCCGTCCACGATTTCTGTTTAGAATAAAACGGCCGGTTTAGATTTCATGCTCGAGTTTCGTGTGATTTTCACGGGAAACTAAAATTATTTACCCTCTGCTCCGATAGATACCAATTTCACGCCTTTGCTGGCGATGTAGTCAAGTGCTTTGTTCACGTTTGCGATCTTATGAAATCTCATTTTGCCTCTGTCTGGTTTCGGTAAAGTCTCGCCCGAGATTACCTCGAGCAAGAGCATCAGTTTCAGCCCATTCCGAAAATCCTCTTCGATCAGATCGATCGACGTTCCCGCTTTGCGAAGATGCGAATTACACCATGCTGTGAATGTCTGCAAGATATATAGAAGAAATACGTAAGAACCGACATCATAACAAACGATAACTGTGCGAACAAGGTTGCAGGCGCTTATTCATTTTTCTTTCGCAATTTTCCAACAATATCTCGAGCTCCTCCTGACTCATGAATAAATAATGCAATGTTTTATGGCTAACAAGAATTTAAAATGGGGAATTGAGCTTGACTGCTGCTTAGTGTATATTTTAGTAACGACCCCAATCCCTCCTGCTATATATATCTTCTGTCCCGGTTCTTAAACCGTGCTTCCTATTGCTCGGACTGAACATTTTCAAATCTTTGATATTTTCGATTAAAAAATTCGGCATGCACGAGTCCGAGCACGAAGAAGTCTGTTCACCGTTCTAATTACTTTCCAGGAATAACCAGTATCTTGTTTAAGTGATGTAATTTGTACACTCTAACCGAGTATCGACTATGCCTCTATTAAAATCGTGACACTAAATATATTTGAGTAATTGTAAAAAACTTGGTTGTCATTCCTTAGAACGTCTACTGAAATACCTTTTTTATAATCTTTTAATTGCATTTTGAAGAAATGGAGAATTTCGAAAAGAATAAAAATCAGAGAGGGATACACTCTTATTATATCCCGAGGATCTTGAGATAGCGTGCTCAATGAAGAAGTTGGTAATAGGATACTAATTGCAAGAGCAGCGTTATTGTAAAATTGAGTGGGGACGTGACAGAAAATCATAGCATCAGCATTCGCGAACTTTTTTCTCTAAACAAGAGGGGTAATAAAAAGAGCAAGAAAGAGAGAGAGAGAGAGAGAGAGAGAGAGAGAGAAAAATATTGCCTGAAATTTAATACGGGTAGCGCGAAGCGCGACCAGCCAAAATTGGACATGAGCCACCTTAACTTCTACGAGCGGCTCTAAGATCTATTTGTAAAACATTGACTCCTCCCGCGCTGAGCACGCCTGAGCATTTCGAAAACATTTTGATTCCGATTTCACTCTTAAATTAATAAGTCCATTCATTATATTTGTCATTTGTCCTATTGTTTGAACATCCCATTATGTTTCTAAAAGATATTATAATCGAAAAAGCGAACGTTATCCGCGTGCTCATTAAACAAAGAACAATTGTACAGCAGAAAGAGTGATCCGAATTGGAGGATACTTGCTCGCCCCTCAAGTCCTTGGATCTCGCACAGAAATACCGCTAGAGAAAAAAAAGTATGAAGGTGAATTTATTTGCTGATAAAACATCGGATCTACATATATTCATACGAGAACAGCGATCGCATTTCCAAACCGCACGGCAACCAAATTTTCTGTTTCAAAAATACGTTCCCCGAGAAATGATTTTATAATGGTCGTTACCTCTTTTGACGCAGCCGATGCTCTTTTAATAGACACCCGGCATTCTCCGATTTCTTTTTTAAAACTTGCATAAGTAATGCAAAAACGAGAAGGCGCTGCTATGTAAACGACGTTACGCTTTGCGAAGTAAAAAGATGTCAAATTATGCAAATGTTCAGTTATAGTTGCGTGGAATAACAATTGTGTTACGAGGGTTTCTTTACTTACTTTCGTGACTCATCGGTATCCCTCTATAAACGAAAGGAATGCGTCACGTGGCAACGCGCTAATGAGACGATAATAAGCAGCCGATTTCTAATTGTAACGTTCGATCGAGCAATCGCATCGATAATTAAACTTTTCTGCGCACCTCATACTCTTATTATCGCATAGCCAAACGCGAACCTGCTCGTCGACGGATACAACTTTTCACAGCTAAATACCGGCGCGAATGCAACTAAATATAAATATACGTTAAACATGAAACGCCCTATATACGATGCACATAATTCAGGTAACCCAAATTCTAAATATCACGCACGTAAACATGTCTATTTTAAATTGAATTCAAGAAATATTCTTCTCGGGCTCCACCGGTTCATTAGAAATAATTTCGACTAACCGAGAACCCTTTTCGCTTTACCTTGAAACGGGAAAGAGTTAAGGCCAAAATGTGGTATAAAATACGGCGGGCACGAGGAGCGAAATTGGCACGTTACCTGGTGTACACGTGACGGTCATAGAGCGAAGCTGTTGTAAAAGATATTTACGAATATCAGCGTGCAAGCACGTCGCCTCGTCGGTTTGCAACATTCCGCTGTTCCAACATTGAACATAAAGAGGGAAGAAAAATACGAAGAAAAAGCAGGTGTTCCTGGCGACCGCGGGTCAGACAGGTGGCGATTATGTTCTCGGTTAAACGCAAGCAACGTTTGTATTTAATCAATATTATTCCGCGAGAAATCCTGAATGCTTTCGTCGTTGACTCTTTTTGCATCTGTCCCGGAGATTCAATGATTTATTCCGCGATCATCAGACGCGGTGTATTAGATGGAAATTCGTGGCTAAGAATATCAATTCTCAGAATTTTCATGTACTCAATCATGCGTGCATTTTTCTCACGCACTCTTTGTATGAAATAATATATCAAACGATACAAGAAGCACTGTTCTACGTCGCTTTCGACTGGAAAAGACTTTGTCCGGCTCCAGGATAAAGAATTCGAAGAAAGAGGTGTTACTCCGTCACTCAGGCATGGTTTTAGTTTCGCTGCTTACCGGGCGCCGAAAATAAGCTCGCCGGATCGTACGTAACGGGAAACATCATGGTCGCGGATTCTATTTGCGGACAGTATCAAGGGAGCGGTCGGAAATGCTGCGAAAATTCATTCAAGAAACCATTCCAACCGGTTACGTCGTCCGCGGATATTTCGCGTAATTATCGCGGCGACCTTTGCGACCAGAGCCGTCTGAAAATAGTGAATCGTGGGTGTCGGCTGCATTTTAACGAACCGTAATCGCCGCTCGCGAAGCCCGCAATAAACAGACGGCGGCATGAGACGCGCGGAACTTATCATCGCATAACAATCGACTTACTAGCGCATAGCTTGTGTGGGTCACCCGATTCCAATCTAAGATCTGGCGCACAGCCTAAACTTCTCAAAGGTTAACGATCTTACCCTCGCCCCGAGAGAGAGAGAGAGAGAGAGAGAGAAAGAAAAAAGAAAAAAGAAGTCGATCGATCGATCGATCGATCGATCGATCGATCGTTAAGCCGTTCGTTCGATCTTCATCCATTTCCAGGATCAACCCGTGATATTAAAGGCACGAAGATATTTAGACTAGGTTCAGGTTCCGTACGACAGCTCGACAGAATCGTATCGCGAAAGATGAAGCGCCAGTTTATGTTTGGAAGCGGTAGTTAGCCGATCGGAGGATGTGAACCCCGACTATGATCGATGTCTTCGACCGCATACATTTCCTATATATATCGTCTATTTATACGTGACGCGGACAGAAACGACGAGGAAAGTATCTAAATTTTGTAGCTCGGTCGTATAGAGTATGAAAAACCTTCGTAAAGACTTCCAACAAATCATAAGCGTCGAAATAAACGTGGACACTTAAACGCGAGTTGTCTATTTCTTGGCCGGTATTTACTACTGTACGCGAACACGATTCCTGAAGGACCCTGACGACTATTCCCCACGTATCGCGTTGCGATACCAGTTAACATTAGATAAGCGATTCTGTAACCTTCGCCGATCCACCGGTACGCTACGTTTTTACATTCCGACACGCATCTACGTACTTTCACCGTTTCGCGCTAACGACACGATTACCGCGAAAACGTGGACGTCAACGGGAGGTAATCTGTGATGTAATTTACACCCACGAAATTGGCAAGCTTTTCAATCGTGGACCGTGTCCACTGACGGTTAAGTATCTCTGGTTGGAACGCGTAACGTTTGCGACGCCGGATGGCCGCAGGAAAATTGGCAACAATTTAAATTAAAGTCTCGTTTCATTTCGAACGATTAGAAGAATGCAACATGACCTATTTCAGAGGGGAGAAATGATCAGCTCCCTAGTTTATTTTATGCGCAGTTCGTATCTCAAGAAAATAACACGGATGTATGTCATTCTACCATCGACAGTTTCGTTTCCTATATTACATTTTCTGTATGTGCAACGTAATCGTGAAAGGAACGCGGAAAGATTAAAGGATGCTACGTTGCGTCGATGAGAGTATCGATGAAACTGTTACCAGACGTGAATCAAATGTATGGCTCGCGCCACGATCGTTATTCTCCAACAATAGTTTCCCAATTTCATATCGACATACTATTATATACTTATCACTTTGAAAGATATTGTCACTCTTAGATATCTCAGTGATGTCGAAATCCCCGATTCATTTATCACTGATAAACTACAAACCGATATCAAGGTAGAAATTGATATAGAAATCATGTAGAATTGAAATACAGTTTCACAAAGATGATTTCAGTGCGTGAGATTCGTGGTTACACTGAGACGGTTGTCAACTACAATTCTTTCGTGATTTACATCGGTCGCGGCTAACGAAGACGTCCCGGGGCCGAAGCGAATAAATTCAGTTGAATTTTTGTTAAATCAGAGAGGATTGATTCATCGAAAACGCTCTGGAGTATCGGCTTGAAAATGACTCAGTGCTCGATTATTTTTGTCATAAAGTCCGAAAATACAATCGAAAGGGTCGTCGAGACTAACATGTAATCGAGTCGGAGCCTTGAGCCTCTGCCAAAAATTAAGAAAACGTTTTCAACGCGTACTTGAAGCTGTTCCATTTTGTCAATAGACACCGTATTAACCTGCTTCCCTTGTATCATGTTCCGCGGACTCTTTTCTCGGATGTAATTATCTCTTCTCGGATGAATTATCAAAATTCAGGTTCACCGATGATTCGACAGCGTAATTTTATGCTCAAATGATTACGTCTAATAATTTTAAATATGCACCTGCACCCGATGATCTGAAGTAGGTTAAAATAATCGCAGCGCAAGATCAGTGAATTAAAAATCACACGCTCCGTTTACAGGTAAATATTTGACAGAGAAGATAAGCGTATGAATTGCTAAATAATAGGATAGCTCGTTGGCAAAGTGGAGTTGCTCCACTTTGTAAGAACATATGCATATAGCTTTAATGATTCGCAATCAAAGTGTAATTACGGCGCGAAAGGAGTAAAATGTCTTATAAATCTTCGTTTAGTTGCGGTCGCAGGTAGATCGTCGAAAGTCGCATCGTCTACCTACGCGAGGTTATGTGCAACCGTTTAAAAATCAACGGCCGATTAGCTGCGAGCGTTCGAAATGAACACGTTTACAAGTACAAATAATGTCACCTGACAATTTCCTCGATATCAGGAATTATGGTCATCAAGGTAAATTGTCATGAACTAGGTAAAATACGACCGTTCGACCGAGTGTGTACCGTAACGCGGTGCGATAACCGAATCGAGGAAAAGGAAAAACAGTACGAAAACATAATCTACGCGTACGCATGTAGTGTAAAGAAAAAATTCGTTTTACCTTTTTCTGCTGTTTTTCCCAGGCCGGGTCCAAAAGACCTTCCCTTTCCCATTCTTCTGCCGGCTCCATGTACCCGTCCCCGTAAGCTTCCGTGTCGTTCATCCTTCCGCGGATATATCACGTTCCTTTAAACGCAAATGATTTCTTTGTCACACAGATACCTCGTACAAAAAATCAACGGGCAAACACTTCGACTACGTGTTCCTGTCACAGTGCTCCTCGATCACAATCGTTCCGAGCATTCCTGTACACTTGTTTCGCGGTGATGAGAAAACCATAGATTCAATGTATCGCTCAAAAAAAGATAAGGCTCGCCAATGGTTAAAAAGCAGAAACGAAACCGCACGCGCGCACGGATGAGAGAAAGAGAGGGGAAAAGAAGGAGAGTGAGAGAGAGAGAGAGAGAGAAATGAGATCGGTAGAACAGGTGAAAAGAAAAAACCAAGTGAGAATAATTGAAAGCGAAGTGAAAAAGGTGTACGTTTTGTAACGTGAAAACGTACCCGCTAAGCTCCAGAAAACGTTCGGTTCGTGTCGTTCTTTCTCTCGCGCTGACCCCTCTGCCACGAGTCTGACACACGATTTGCTCGCCGGCGCACGAGCCTCCCCTCCCACGCTCTCTTTCTCTCTCCGTTCCTCCCCGTTGTTGTGTTTCTTTCTCTTTCCCGTTCTCCGATTCGTGTCCCGCACCGCTTGCTTTACCCGACGCACCGTCACCCTTCTAAAGATCCCGTTCCCATACAACAGCTTCCGTATCTAACCCCCGCGAATCGAAACGATCATGTTAACCCTCGCGTCGTCTAATTATCTCTGCATTGAATTTCTCGTCGAACGTGTTCTCTGTTTCGCAAGCCTACGCAAGCGTTATCGTTAACATTTCAATAAATTAACAATAGGATTAGGTTTCTAAAGTTCCTAAACGTCAAGAAAAAAGACATGCTCCGAATTTCAACTTGTTCATTATGTTGCTGCTAGGATATATTATTCTCTACTTAATGAATATAAATTGTACATCTATTCAATAAAGCTACGAATAAACCGATTAGTGTAACATGCATACCGTACAAAAACATTTCACTATGCGCAAATGAATCATCCAACATATGTGAACTTACGCTGTTCCAATCAAATAAACATCTTCGAGGGTTTCAAATCTGAGTATGATTTCGATTCAACAACGTATTTTGTTACGCGAATTCTATCAGAACGAGTTAGGTAGTATTTTATGTTTATAACTTTCACGACAAAATGAAATAAAAAAATCAATTATAACACGAGATGAAGAGGATGTTTTAGTACGGTTTTTGTAACGGATCAGAGTTTCGTCACACTCGTCAATTCCTTTCGAAACCGAATTAGTCACTCGGTTTTGAAGGAAATTACATACCCTGTACACATCTGCCGAAACTAACCTCCGTTCTTCTCTGAACCGCGGATTTCGCCCAGGAAACAGCTTACGGAATACGAGGATATCGAAAATAGTATCAAAGCCGACTAAGACACCTGATTCACCCACACACGATAAAAATAGTACGGTAATCCGCGTGAAATTCCCAAAACAACGAGGGTAACTCCATTCCTCCGAGTCTTCACGGACACGCAGGCATAAGTATTTTACACCTAGAACAGCAACAATTCCATCTGCTACAATCTTGCATTTTTTCATCATCAGAAATGAATTAAGATACGTGTATAGCAGACGCGTGCTAATAATAAATTAATATACCTTATTAGTACATAATTTACTTGCATTTCTATCGAATTTACAAATTTGATTATCTATCCCACGCGTCTCATGAATAGTACACGATGCACACAGTATTTTATTATTTGCAAATATGTATTGCGTTTCAAATGATCGATTCGTTTTGAATTGATAATTCAATACTCAGCGCCAGGCGACATTTCCTTCGCAGGCATCGCATTTAATGGGTTCGTTTGCTTATCTACATGCGTTTGTGTACATACTGGCTGATGTTCGGACTCACGTTTCACTTCACTTCACACTCACGCCACAGTATTCATCATCAGTATTCATCGTATTTCATCGTATTCATCTTGGTAGGGTTCATACAGTTCATAGCGGAATTTGGCGGAGTTGTAATAACTCGAAATGAATACAAATAGATCTGTAGCAATTAGAAACTACGAGCAATAGGATGTGACGTTTATCTTCATTTTTTAACGATATTCATTGATAATTATTCTCGGGAAAAGTTTAGTGCTCTTTGTATGTACGAAGCTCGCGTCAGTTTGTAAAAACACACGAACTTGTTATAAAGATTTATGAATTGTTGACTGTGAACGATTCGCGTGTATTGCAAATGATTATTTGCCTACATCGTGTAAAATAATAATATAACTGGTGAGAGAGAGAGAAATGGCAGCACCATTGTCAGGTATTTTCAATTTTGTATTGCTTAACCTAATTGGTCTTCATCTATTAACACTTTCATCTTTTACTCTTAGCATACTGGGTGAAATTCTTTAAGGGAGCAGGATTTCCACTGGATGTGGCTACGAAACATGCAGTTGTATTCTCCAATAATCGCATTAAACCAGATATGTTACCCGACTTAGACAAACCTAGTCTCAAGGATATGGGAATCACTTTAATGGGAGATATGATTGCTATTTTGAGATATGCAAAAAAAGTAGTGGAAGATACGACCTGTGAAAGATTTTTAGTCGATTCAGAAGATAACGATGGGCCACCTAAAACCATAGTGAAAAAAGTAACAGTTAAGGGCCCGACTAAAACAGTTGTTCCTAAACTTAAATCTGATGCAGTAACTACGAAGAAAGTCATCAAGATCCCAACCAGTTCAGTCAAGAAGCCTGTTGTTGCTAAGAAAACAGTATCATCATCGTCATCGTCATCATCTAGTAATATATTTATAGACCTTGCCAATCAAAAGAAACAAACTATCCATAAAAGAAAGTTACAAGAAGATGAAGATGATACATTCGATAATAACAATGAAGATGAATGGCAAAAATCACCGAAAAAGATGAAGGCAATAGACAAAAAGGATGATAAAGTAGGATATACTGTGATACTTCCAAAAGGTTCAACTTCTAGAAGCCAACAAATTCTTAAAAAGATCGTAGAGCAAAAACGAACTGTGTTTGATAGACTTGGCGACAGTTCTGTTACAAGTACAACAAATCCAATTGAAGCATCGCCGACATTTAACGTTACTGGGCTGGGAAAAGATGTTCTTAAGAGATCTGTTTTTAATCGATTAGGGGATAAAGATGCCAAGATGGATAATACTCAAACAGGAATATTAAAAAACGGAGTAAATAGTACCGGGATCCTGAAAACTAAAACACCTAGTACACGAACTTCCATGCTTACGTCGAATAAAGTGGTAGCCAAAAATGTGGGTACAATGAGAGCTGATCAAGAAGTAAGTAGAAAAGTAATGTCGACTAATGCTCCGCAATTAGTTAAAGCTACGAAAAGAATTTCGTTTAACAATCATCCATCAAGAAGTAGCAGGATAATTAAATCTAATGTCACATCTGGAAAATTAGGTACGTGATCCACTATTGACAAGATTCTCCTGCGCATCTTACATGATTCATCAAAGATTTTATTATATTTTTCAGCTTCAGAAAGATTAACTTCGATACCGGCGAAAGCCCGTCTAGGAGTTGTCAAACAAAATGGTGTTAAGCAAGTAACTTTTAATAAAGTTGCTAAAGTGGCATACTCGAAGAGACCAGATGTGTTTAGTCGTCTTGGAATTTAAGTAATCACTTAACTCTGTATTATAGTATTTTTATTGTCATTTCAGTTCGCGATCAATATTTTCTTTTATAAAGTTAAGTAATTTCCTACCACATGAATGTAAAAATATAAGGGTTGTTATATTTATCAAGGAAGAAATCAAATGTGTAAGTTTTATTGTTTACGTTTCGTTATATGTAAATCGTAATATTTATTTTGGTCTTTTACAACCTTGCAATACCGTAATGCTTTATATTTGAAATGTGCATTATATTTGTTATTTGAAAAATTGTACAAAAGTTCTATAGGTCGCATTTTGTAACAAAATCTTTGGTACACATTTATTCAACAATCTGATTGTACAAATAAAAAAGAACTAACATTTAATTAACGAATATGAGAAAATATGTTCTTTCATACATTTTATACTATTAACAAACATTTTCTATATAAAATCACATTGATTTAAATGTAAGTTACAAAATATTGAGATTAACTGAGTCGACGTTACATTTCGCTTACACAAATACCAAATTCATAGTTGCATATTGTTACAAAAACAAAGAAAAAAAAATAAAAATTGCGTAGGTTTCAAGATCAAAATATACACATTTTGTAATAATGAGAAAAATCGATACACTTCTCTTCCTCGGAAACTGGACACATATATTTCTCTATAAATACTGGAAGCTACTTAACTATCATACTTGATCATTTTCGTTACAATTACGACTAAAATAAATAAAAATATTCTGGCATTGCAACGGAACTTAAAAAAAAATACACGTTCTCTATGTACTTGTCCTCCTTATACTCAACCTAAGTTACCATTAAAATCTCGATCAGTGGGTGGAATGTTCCATATCTGAAGAAGATCCTCGGGATGTATCTGAAAATGAGAACATTCAAAATTCAACACCTGCATTTATTGTTATACCATTTGTGACGAATTCCTCACAATGCAATGCATTTATGCCATATTTATAAATCGTATAAAGAAAGTATCTGTGTTAATCGTACTCAACCTGTTGAAAAATATTTACTCATGTATACAAAAGAAGGGGGGTGATCGTAATTCCGCACACCCAACAAGGACTAATCGCAATCGTTCCCAAAATACTATCTTACACGGAGTGCTAAATAGAGCGTGTCAGGCATGCCAGACCACAACTACATGAAACAAATAAATCACATTTGTTACAAGCATGATAACACTCCTAACTCAGATATTAGATAACATTTAATTTAAGTTCGGTTAATTAAGATCGGAGGCCCACCTTATCGCACGTTCTTCGTTAGCAAACGTCAATGCCAGATGGGTCTATCCTGTAAAAAGCAAAGTACAGTTTCAGAGGAACAGAAGCGACACGATTTTACACGCAACCAACAAACAAAAAGAGATTACAATGTTTCCGTCACTTGGATCAAACGAGACAATTGTTACAAAAAACGGTAGTTATGTTAGATATCGCTGACAAAATGTAGTAACGATACAGTCTATAAGAATAGTATTCTACAGCAAGTCTTAGAAATTCAAGATTATGTAAAAAAAAATTGATTAGATATACAAAATAATGCTATATAGACATATGTACAGATACGTTTATACATAGTATCATATGCACATATGTACATAAACAAAGTCGACGCACGAGTGTGTATGAGCGTATGTCTGTTTTGTGTAATTGTCGTACATGCGCGATTTGTCATTCAGTTATATATATATACATAAACATAGAATATAGGAATACTAATAACGCAACTTTCGTTCCATGTGGATAATGTCTATGAGCATCTGGTAGAACTAGTAGCGACATCGATCTTCTTGATACACCTGCAAACATCGGCTTGTATCGACTTGCACATATAACAATCTTCTCGATTAAATTCAATACGTTTCAAGACAAATGCTATGATGATATATTACTTTGTTACTTGATTTTAGACCACTGATCGAGAAATAGTATCTAAATTTTCGGTTGGCCTCTTCTGTCACTCATCATAGAGTGAGTACACCAGAGGTACAATCAATCATCCCCCTTCAGTTTAATCCCGAGTTCTTACTATTTAAATGGCATATGGAACAAAATTCTAAAGATACTTTGTCTGAGTTAACGTGAAGACAAATTCCTGTATTATCCAAAGTTTGAGATATGTCATCCTCCGTGAAAAGATTCGTCGGATCGTTCAACCCATCCACTGATGTCATTATATCTTCGCATTTCGGAAGATCGTCGAATATGTCCATATTGAACGTAGACAGCTGGTCAAAGTCCATCGCTATATCGGATTCCTTTCTTTCCTCATTGGGCAAGTCTGCCTCGGCAATTGGCAATAAAGGATCCAATTCCTTCGCGTTATCCATGTAACTATCCTCCGATACTGAACTCGTCGTGGATGTAATGGTGTTCGTTTTATCCTTGTTTGGTAGATTATTCTTGATATCAACTGCAGGATTTTTTGAAACGGTGTAAGTATGATCGTAATCCAAGAAGCAAGAAGAAATTTTGCTAATGTCTAAATTCTTACAAGTAAACTGCTTCCTGGAATCATCGTAAGATTCACTGCTCTGACTTTCGTTTATGTTGTGTTCCATAAACGAATTGCTGTTGTCATTTGCGATAAAAATATCCTTGTTCGGACTGTTCAACAGTTCTTCCTTTGGATTACAAGAGTTCTGTTGTGGAATCGTTTTATTAGGGCTTTCTGATGTATGATTTGGGCGTATCGAGTTCTTCTGCGTGTTGATCTTCTGGAGGCCTTCGTTGATAGTCTTCAGTAATGCGGTAATGCTGGTATTGTTGTACAATACGCTCCTCAAATAAGCAACCTCGCCACTTAATTGTTTTATGTGAATACCCTGTTTCCTTATAAGATTCACCAAGTTCTTGTTCTCCTGTTGATAGAAGGACAGTTTGTTTTCTATTTTTTCCAGGTACGCTTTTTTCTTAAGTCGATTTTCTCGAGCCATTAAAGCATTTCTGTTCAAGCAGGGCCTCTTCGAAGGGCCCCGACCTCGTTTTCGTGGTTCCGCGGAGATCTCATTTTCAATCGTCGCAGGTTGTTTCGGATTCCGCAGCGATTCCCTTAACCGCATGTTATATTTCGTATCGTACGTAACGGCATCCTCTTCTTCCGTGGAACTATCCCAGTTAACACTACTTTCTCGTTGGTTACCCGACATCGTTGGAATAATTTATCCCCGATAATGGCTCTGATGAAACAGCAAAATTTTCCGTCGAAATGTTTTCGATCGATCAAACAGAATCGTAGTATCACACTTCAATTGTAAAAATTAAGACCTCGCTATCTGCGCATTAGAAAATATGTATGTACGTACTTTCTCCACCCAATTATGATCTGATTGGCCCTAATGGCACGTATGTACTTATGTACTGACCAGGGCTCGGATATTTTATCCCGCGGCCGGAAAGTGGGGACGACGCGACCATGGTGGGGACCAATAGTTGGTGGGGGTATGCAGTGATTTTCACGGTAGCGCTGCGGAGAGCTTCGCGAACGCGCATGAGCACGCATGAGGGGAATAGTAGTGGGGATCGAAATACGGGCGAAAAAGAGGGGAAGCGAACCGTGCGGGATAAAATATCCGAGCCCTGGTACTGACCTGAGCCGAGCAGCTGGACGC